AGAAGAGCCAGATCATCGGCTTTGGATTTGATGAAACGCAGGTACTCTGTAATTGTCTTGGTACCTTTGATGCAGTGTTTGATCTGAAAGCGTAATTGACGGGTGTGACCACAAGATGAATTACCGAAAGTTTTTGCAAGCATGGTCCAGACTTCTTTGGTTGTGTTGGCGCTGGAGATGACCGGTTGGATCGGTTGAGAGATGGCACCGATGATGGAGCTGTAGAGAAGAGGATCTTGTCGTCGCCAAGGAGTGTATGCGGGATTCTGTGTCGAGACGCCATTCATGACAACGGTAGGTGAAGGAACAGTACCAGAATCCTCGATGAAGTGTTGGAGTTCGTGGCCTTCAAGGAGTGCACGAACCTGTCTGCTCCACATGATGTAGTTGACATCGGTGAGCTTGGTGACACTGGACATGTTCACCGATAGGAGAGTGTATTGTGGGTCTTGAGTATTAAAAACTGCAGTTCTTTCTGCTGTGGGATCTGTCATGATGAGAGAGAAGAAGAAGAAACATAGATTAGAAGAAGAAAAAGAAGAAGAAGAAGGAGAAAGGACAGTGGCGGCTAGAAAAAAAATAGGTTAAATCTATTGCTGCTCTGATACCAAGAGATATAGAATCGATGATATTATTGATATAGTGTGAGCTCTGAATATATACAGAGAGACATGATACAGAGAAAGGAAATACAATATATGAGAATTACTATAGCATAATTACAGGGAGAGAATTATGTACTTTCCTATATCTTATCACTTTCTTCAGTGAAGCCTTCTCTACTTCTAGATCTTCGTCTCTTTTTGAACTTCGATTGTACTCTTTTGGGTCCTTTTTTGTTCGCCGGAATAAAAGAGATTTGGATCATCCGAGAAGAAAACCTCAATTGATCCGACCATCATATTCATCAGGATAATCATACAACTCGACGAGAAATCCCAAGTCGTCATATGATGATCTGAACAACTGCATCCTCTAAACAAATCAGTCGAGAAGAAACCATCGCCCTATATATCCTTTAAGGAGAGACGAGGAATTACTCTCAACGACTGAGAAGTTAAGCAATCGATTAACCAAATCCACCATAACCACCGGAATTAGACGACTTCCGAAACAATTGAGAAGTTTCAATTTGATCTGCAAAAGGATATAAAACAAAAACAAAACAAAGATCCGAACCAAGTCGGAAATAAAACCGGATTAAAACCGGAAACAAAGATCCGAACATGTCGGAATTTTATTATCCGATCAAACGGAAATATGAACATAGCCCTCTCTCTCTGAAAGATTAAGAGTGAGAGAAGAGAGAGAGAGCTTGCTAATTGCTACCTTTCATAACTTAATATTAAAGGAAAACATTATTTCAGAACAAAAAAAGAAACGAAAAATATTATAAAAATTATAAATTATGTGGGTTTAGGGTTTAGAATGAAGAGTTGAAACAATCGTATTCCTCTCATCTGCACTTCTTTGAGTACATCGTCCACCTCGTCTGCACTTTTCTGAGTACATCGTCCTTCTCGTCTGTATTTCTTTCTACTCTTGCATTACCTTTGACTCTGTTCGTATTGTCACAAGTGGTAACTTGTGAAAGAACAAATCTGTTAACGATGCTGTTGCATAGTGTAGTCTCATTTTTTTTTTTGGGTTTTGTTTATAGATATCGTTGTTTGATTATTTGAGTTACAAATTTGGTTGTTTAGGAGCCATCATCAAGATCAATGGAGAATCAACCTGATAAGAAGTTCACTTGGGTGATTAAGAATTTCTCCTCTTTGTAATCAAAGAAAATATATTCTGATGTATTCATGGGTGGTAGCTGCAGATGGTAAGAAGAAGAGAAGTTGTTTTCTAATTATTATTTTTTCTTCCAGTTTAGGTTTTACAGGATAACCTACATTTTTTCTTCGTTCTGCTGATAGTTTTTATACGGTTTTGCTTGCAGGCGTCTTGTTGCTTATCCCAAGGGAGATTATATAACTAATCATTTCTCTCTGTTTCTAGCTGTTGCAAATTCTGAAATTTTGCCTGCTTGGTGGAGAATACACGCTAAATTTTCCTTTACTATAGTTAATCAATTCTCGGATAAACAGTCCCAACTTCGAGGTGATTGCTTCTTAATGATTCTCTTGTTTTAATAACGCCGAAAAGTTTTATATTTGTGTCTTGGGCTTTTACAAGGTTTTTTTATGTATACGTTGTTCAGGGCTTGTTAGTTGTTAACACTGATGATAAATCTACTGGAGTATCTCATATGAGATATTCAGAAATCCAAAATGAAATATGTTTTGTGATTTTGCAGAAACGCTACACTGGTTTGATAAGAAGAGTCCTGACTGGGGGTGGAAAGAAATGATTACCCTTACCGAACTTAATGACAGAGAAGGATTTCTGGTGAATGGAAAACTCATTATTGTTGTCAAAGTTGATGTTCTTGAAGTTGTAGGTAAATTTGAGGAATCTTCACCAGTAATGGAAACTGTAGATGGGTTTCAAGTTCTTCCTTCACAGGTCAGAAATTATGACAAATACACAACTTCTTGTTGTTTATTGATATTCTGTTTTAAAATTAAGTATTAGGAAAAACACTTTAATATAGTTCAGTTTCTTGACTATGACTATATTAGAATTCTAAATTCCTCAAAAACAATGGCTACGACACAGACCAACCGAGAGACATTTTTGGGTGGATTTGCTAAGATCTTGGAAAAACAATGGCAAGGCGATTTACGGCTTAGGGCAATGGACAGTGATGATGGGGCATATATCTCCGCCCACAAACTTGTTCTGGTCTCTATACTCATTATTCCTACTTATCATAATCCTATATATGCATTAAACAAAAGTTTTTAGAAATGCTTATGTTCACTGAATCACTGTTGCTTTTACGGTGTTCAATCCGGATTTTGATTAGGACTTTTTGGGTTTTCGGATTTTTTGGTTTATAAATATTGTTTTGTGTTCAAAATAAAACAGTCATAATCTAATATTTGGCATCGTATGATTTTGTTTTTAGTTTTGGTTCGAATTCTGGTTTTAGTCAAATATATACCCTTAATTTTCAAAGAGTTTCATAATGGTTTTATTTTTCTTTTTTCGATGTTTCTCGGATAGAAAAAAACGAATCTATATATCTATCTTAAGATATGTATACTTAAGTTTTTAAAGTGATTATTTCAGTTTGGATTTGATTGGGTTGCTTTGTCTAGATTGAAAACACCTATATGAAATCGTGAATGCTAATTTTTAAACATCTGTGTATGGAATTTGAACAGGCAGCAAGATCAGAGGTGTTTAGATTGATGTTTGAATCAGACGAGTTCAAGGCTTCGGCTAAGCTAAGAGACAGTAACCCACTCAGAGATGAAATATGAAGAAGTAGAGGCTTTAGTTGAGTTCATCTATAGTGACGGCTCCAAGCTATCAGCGAAAGGGAAACAAAATGTTCAGTCACTCTTTATTGCAGCTCACAAATACGAGATCATGCATTTACGGGATTTATGCAGAAACGAGCTAATATCTTCTATGAGTTTGACGAATGCTCTTGGCGTTTATAAGCTCTCTTTGATTCCGCACGACAGAGACCTCGAGATTGCTGCCCTGGATTTTATCATAAAGAATTCTAAGATAATTGCTAATTCTTAAGAGTTCGAGTTGTTTGGTAACGAAAATCCAGATCTTATCCTGAGGATATTGAAGGCAATAATGAAGAAAAGTCATTTTTCAATACTAGAATAACTCATAACCATTAATCATCTATGTGATTTATTTATTTTTTTTCTTTTTGGTTTGTAAGCATTTTTTCGTACAATTAGACAAAATTTGCTATTAATTCAATCTGATATGAGTAATGTATTGCCTAAAATATATATTTCTATTCCCTATATTATAACATAGCTTCGTCTGCCCAAATCAATAATTTTTTGAAAAGATGGTTCGAATTTCTTCTACAAATAAGATCAAAGTTTCATTCGCAGAGACAAAGAAAGGCAAGTACGTCGCAAAGAGTTACCGATAAACAAAAAGCTCTCTGCCTAAGAGCCGTTGAGCTGTCTCTGGTCTCGCTTGGAAGTGGAATCACAAAGACGGTCTCTGACAGAGGATGAAGAGTTGACAACTTATGAAAGCCATTACCAGAGAAGTCAACAGCTCAAACCCTACAACTTTCGGGAAATGTCATCCCATCACTCTCCTTAGGTAGCTTGTGATTGAAGGCATTGTCTTAATGATCAAGCATTCACGTGTATATGATGAGAATCAGAGTCTTTGGCTTGTTCTTGCGTAGCCACATCAACGAACCTAGCGCGGCTAAAGATATCGTCACCTGAGTTTTGACACACACACGTTTAGATGGAAGTAAGAATCCAAATACAGATGATGGATCTTTATTTTTGAAGAGAAGATTGGCTTCAAGTCCTCCATCACCAACCCAAAGATGGCTATTGACAATTATTTTAATTTCTAATGTTATTCAAATTTCGATATCTTAATTCCTTCAATGCTAGTGTTATTAATATGCCTTTTCTTGGCATTTTTCGGGGTCTTTCCACTGCTCGGATATTGGGCTATGGGATCTCTAAGGATTTTTATTTTTGTTCAATTTGGGTTTAGCTATCCTTTTCTATTCCTTTTTTAATTGCTACTTTTTATAACTTAATAATATAATAAAAGAAAACATTATTTCAGAACAAAAAAGAAAAGGAATCTATTATAAAAAAAATATATAAATTTCCTGGGTTTAGGGTTTAGAATGAGGAGTTGAAGAGCAATCGTATTCCTCTCGTCTGCACTTGTGTGAGTACATCGTCCATCTCGTCCGTATTTCTTTCTGCTCTTTCATTACCTTTGACTCTATTCGTTTTGTCACATGTGGTAACTTGTGAAAGAAGAAATCTGTTTACGATGATGTTGCATTGTGTAGTATAATTTTTTTCAAGATATAACGTTGTTTGAATATTTGAGTTACAAATTTGGTTGTTTAGGAGCCATTCTCAAGATCAATGGGGAATCAACCTGATGAGAAGTTCACTTGGGTGATTAAGAATTTCTCCTCTCTGCAATCTAAGAGAATATATTCTGATATATTTGTGGTTGGGAGCTGCAGATGGTAAGAAGAAGAGAAGTTGTTTTACTAATGTTTTTTTTTTCTTCCAGTTTAGGTTTTACAGTTTAACCTAAAATTTCTTCGTTTTGCTGATAGTTTTCTTACGGTTTTGCTTGCAGGCGTCTTGTGGCATATCCCAAGGGAAATGATATGGCTAATCATATCTCTCTGTTTCTAGCCGTTTCAAATTCTGAAATTTTGCCTGTTGGATGGAGAATACACGCTAAATATTCATTTACTATAGTAAATCAGCTATCGGATAAACTGTCCCGCCATGAAGGTGATTGTTTCTCCACTGGAGTATATCACATGTCACTTTCCATGTTTTAATCAGAGATGAACTAGGTTCTTTGATTTTGCAGAATCTCAACAAAAGTGGTATGATCAGAACGCTCTTGCCTGGGGGTATCGAAATATTATTACCCTTACCAAACTTAATGACAAAGAAGGATTTCTGGTGAATGGAAAACTCATAGTTGCTGTCAAAGTTGAAGTTCTTGAAGTTGTAGGTAAATTTGAGGAATCTTCACCAGTAATGGAAACCATAGATGGGTTTCAAGTTCTTCCTTCACAGGTCAGAAATAAATTATGAGAAATACAAAAAGTTCATGTTGTTTTGTTGATATTCTGTTTTATTGATATTTTCCGTCTTATAATTCTCTATATAATTAACCATCGAATCATTGGATTACAAATCTAAACTCTTCTACAAACAAATGGCTACGCAGACCAACCGAGAGATTTTTTTGGGTGGATTTGCTAAGAATTAAGATCCTGGAAAAGCAATGGCAAGGCGATTTACGGCTTAGGGCAATGGACAGTGATGATGGGGCATATATCTCCGCCTACAAACTTGTTCTGGTCTCTATACTCATTCTTACTACTTATTCATCATAATCCTATGCACTAAACGAAAGTTTTTTTAAATGCTTATGTTCACTGTTGCTTTTAGGGTGTTCAATCTGGATTTTGATTAGGGGTTTCGGATTTTTGGTTTATGAATAGTGTTAGTGTTCAAAATAAAACGGTCATAATCTTATATTTGGCATTGTATGATTTCGTTTTTAGTTTTGGTTCGAATTCTGGTTTTAGTCAGAGAAATTTGATTGGGTTGCTTTGTCTAGACTGAAACCACCTTTGATGTGTATATGTATATGGGAATTTGAACAGGCAGCAAGATCAGAGGTGTTTAGATTGATGCTTGAATCAGACGAGTTCAAGGCTTCAACTAAGCTAGAGACAATCACTCTCTCGGAGATGAAACATGAAGAAGTAGAGGCTTTAGTTGAGTTTATCTATAGTGACGGCTCCAAGCTATCAGCGAAAGGGAAACAAAATGTTCAATTACTCTTTGTCGCAGCTCACAAATACGAGATCATGCATTTACGTGATCTTTGCAGAAACGAGCTTATCACTTCACTGAGTTTGACGAATGCTCTTGACGTTTATAAGTTCTCTTTGATTCCGAACGAAAGAGACCTCGAGGTTGCTGCCTTGGCTTTTATCATAACGAATTTCAAGGTGATTGCTGATTCTAAAGAGTTAGAGTTGTTCGCTAACAACAATCCGAATCTGACAGTGAAGATAGTGAAGGCAGTTGCGAAGAAAGTCATTTTTCAATACTAGAATAACTCATAACCATAATTACTTAATCATCTATGTGATTTATTTTATTTTCCTTTTTGGTTTGTAAGCACTTTTTCATTTTTCATATATTAGACAAAATTTGCTATTAATTCAATCTGATATGAATATTGATGACATTGCCTAAAGCTTTCTCTGAACTTATTTTTCAATTCAGTCCTTTTGTTTTCCATATATTATAACAAATATTTGTCTGCCCAAATCAATAACTTTTTGAAAAGATAATAGTTCAATATTCTTCTACAAATAAAGATCAAAGTTTCATGGAACAGAGTCAAAGAAAGGCAAGTACGTCGCAAGAGTTACCGATTAAAAAAAAGCTCTCTGCCTAAGAGCAGTTGAACTGTCTCTGGTCTCGCTTGGAAGTGGAATCACAAAGACGGTCTCTGACAGAGGATGAAGAGTTGGCAACTGATGAAAGCCATTACCAGAGAAGTCAATAGCTCAAACCCTACAACTTTCGGGAAATGCCATCCCATCACTCTCCTTAGGTAGCTTGTGATTGAAGGCATTGTAGCGATGATCACAGCACACGTGTATATGATGGGGATCAGAGTCTTTGGCTTGTTCTTGCGTAGCCACATCAATGAACCTAGCGCCGCTAAGGATATCGTGAACACCTGAGTTTTGACACACACACGTTTAGATGGAAGTAAGAAACAATTTACAGATGAATCTTTTATAGAAGTTAAGATTGGTATGTAACTATGTACCAGATTAGCATTGGCTTCAAGCCCTTGCAAGACATAATCCCAAGTGAACTCCAGTCCTCGAGCACCAACCCAAAGAGGTGCCAACCTGTGCAAAACAGAATCCGCAAATGCCCATCCTGAAACAAAAAGCAAGAACACACTTTTATGTCACAGTTGATAAATATTCCGTGGTGCAAACAATCATTCAGTTCCAGTTTATATATCATTCGAAAGTAGTCATGAAACTTCTCTACCGGAAATCATGAAAGGAGGTTTTTTTTAGGAACACACTAACTCCAAGTCCACCATCATTTTCATCGATTTTGTAACATATTTTCAGAATGTCACAGCCTAAGCTAATTCCACTTACCAAGGCCAACAGCTTGAAACTTATGATTTTGGGAGATGTTTCTGTGTGTCAGCTGAGCAAGCGCATAATAAAGGCCAGCAACATCTATGAAGCCAATCATTGCTTTAAGTGCTTCCTGATACAAGGGAGATTGGACCCATGATTAGTCAATAATACAACTGATAGCGGAAAAAAAAGTCAACAGTGTGCATCTATACAGTCGAACAATTAAATCACCAACTTCAAAGAAGAAGGAAATGCAACAATTGACCAAGAAAAAGGTATGTTAGAAGACACTAATGATTTAACATTTTCCATGGGAGTAGCTTGAAAGATGACAAATTTATCTCCTTTCAACAGACAAATAAACAACGAACTCGTAAAGAAAGTGTGAGTCTTTGGCTTCAAGAGAAAATACCTGATATGGGTCAAATACTTCAGTCTCAGATACTTGCAGAAAAGTTGCCAAACAAACAAGCTGCCATGGAAATAAGAAATCAGCTTTAGCAAAACGAAAAGCAAAGCGATTCAGATACAAATCAAGGTTGCCCAAAGATTGTTACTGCTGACTAACCTTAACCAATGCTGTAGCAAGGTAAACAACAGCAGCCTTCACGGAGGTTCCAAGAGTGTCATATTCAGATCTGCAGATTCACTTCCGATTACAAACTACGCCTAAACATAAAACCTTAATTCCGCGAAGAAACTAATCTAGATCATGAAGTTTAGAGGTAATCGATAATTTAGAGGATCTAGATTTGGTATGTGTAAATCAAAACCCATAGCAATTTTGAAATCAGATCGAGAAAGAAGGCGGAGAAAGAAGGGGTTGTGCATACAACGGAGTGGCGGAGTAGTAGACGGCGTGAGGGCCGAATGTGAGAATCGCACAGTTGAAGAAGTGAAAAAGCGTCATCGTCCACCACCAAAGGAGCAGCTACAGGTCCGGCGACGCAGTGACGACGACGACGACGACGACGACGACCGTGAAGATATGAAATTGAAGAGGTGGTTTGGTCTTACTTCTTAGTTCTGAAATCTGAAAACTCGATGAAATTAACAAAAACAAATATGCCAAAAAGAATAACGGAATCTTAATGGGTCATTCTTTATTGGGCCGTTTAAGCATCAAATTATGGCCCAATAGTAGTTAATTATATTTACGAGTCTCAGAAAATTAAACCACAAGCTTGCTTAAATATATATATATATACTTTTAGGCTTAAGAAAAAAAGACTTGTGACTAGAGAGATGTTAGAAAAACTTTCAGCCAGGATAAGTAGTTACGGATACAAGTAATGTCAAAGAAAATTTCTTCTAAGGATTTATTCTATAAATCTCTCTAATGTAACAGAAAATACACACATCTAACTATCTAAGGGTCCTCTCTCTTCTTCTCGAGCCGCCGCCCAGCTTCTCCTTTAGATCTGGCCGCGTTTCCGGCGCTGGTGGCTTCCTCAGCACTGGCGCCGGCCCTCCTCTGGTGTCTCTCTTGTTCCCTCTTGTTTTCTCCTTCAGATCTGGTTTCCGTCGGTGTTGGTGTTTTGGTGAAGTGACGGCTTTCGTCGGTGGCTCCTCGCACGACGGTGGCACAGATTCAGCGGCGTCGCTGGACTCTGCGGTGGAGGAAGGAAGCCTTCTATCGTGGTGGGTTTCTTCTCCTCGTCCGCCTCGTTTTTTGTCTCGGCGTTTTCTCTCTCTCCCTCGGTGGTCGGCGTTTTTCCTTCCGACGGTTTCCTCGGCTCTCCTCAGTGAGTCCTCGTGACCGGCGGCGTGGACTCTGACTTTTCTCGGTGGTGGAGTGACGTGCTTCGCCTCCTCCCGATTTAAGACCCTCCAAAGCCTCGTGGTGTTTGTTTTTATTTTTTTTTTCTTGGCGGAGTGGTGGCGTTTGTAGATCGGTCTTCCTTGATTCCGGCGGCAGTGCTTTTGAACCTTGAGGACGGGTTCATTCTCCGGCTAAGGTGTCGCGGCAGTTCTGATCTAGTGGCTGGTCTCAGAGTGGTGGTCGTAGCTTGTTCTGGTTTGCGCAGCTCCACCGGCGGTGTCCTTTGCGGTGGCTTTGACGGGTGGCTCGGCAGATGCTCTCTCTCGTCTCGACGGTGAAGCTCTGGTGCCGTCTTCCATCGGTGTGGCCTTGGTTCATCGGCAGTGTGTGTTTGTCTCCCGGCTTGGATTGGCAGGTTCTCGTTAGAGTTTTTGGTTTTCGGTTAGAGATGGCTCCGACTGTGGTTCGGAGAAGACGGTGGAGCAAATCAGGTGGTGAAATAGAGGCGCCGGTTTGTTGTTACGACTACCTTGCAATTGTGGGAGTTGGTTCCCTTCGAGTCTTCGGTCTGCGGGAATGGTGTTCGGAGGCGACTCTCCGATAGCCCTTGGATTCCCTAGTCACCAATTGCCAGTTAGTTCATAATGCATTCCGGAGATCTCGTTGTTCTCGGAGAAGCTGTAGGCTTTTTTCTCGAAGGTTTTGAGGACGGGCTTCAGGAGAAAGCTCGTGACAACAACGATGAGAACTCCAGCTCTTTGAGTTGCGACAAAACCGAGATGGTCCACGTTTCTTAGCGTGCGATTGGTGTTTTCTCCATCAGATTTGCTCGGTTTTTAACTTTTTTCTCTCTAATGGGATTCATTCCCTTGCGTGTCTGCTGTATTCTTGTCGTTTTCGTTATTTTCTGTAGTATTAGTTAATCTGTTTTCTTCGTTGTATCTCTGTTTTCTGTAAAAAATTCGAAAATGGTATAAATCTTAACATTCTACCAAAAAAAAAACTATCTAAAGGATACAGAAGAAGAACACAGTCTCGGAACATTATTAATAATTGCGTGACATGTTAAAAGTTGAAGCACCTCAATTCAGACGAGCGTCTGATTATGGATCTCTATGGACTAATTACTTCGCAAATATAGGAAGGATGATTATTGTTTTCTCTTATAAACAACTAAAACCGCATAATACCCCACAATTTAAATTATGTAGATCTTAATCAGACATTTTCAGCGCAGAGCTATCCTGTGTAGTGCATATAAACTTTCTTAAATACTAGTTCAGTAGTCTCTTGCAGCACAATCCCCACAAAAAAAAGGAGAAAAATCGACTGTCATATCATATGTAACCGATTTATTCATTTTTAACAAAAGAAAAACAATTCTAAATTTTCGATTTCCAAATGAGTTTTGAAAACTCAAAAACACAAATTCATGATTGGATGGTCTAAGCCTCTAAAAAACCCACATCACCACTCTCACAACATCCCCTTCTCTTTCGCTTCTCTCTCTCTTTCCCTTTCGCTTCTCTCTCTCTTTCCCTTTCGCTTCTCTCTCTCTCTTTCCCTTTCGCTTCTCTCTCTCCCCTCTCTCTCGTTTTCCTCATTATCTCTCAAACTCATGCCGTCGGAATCAACCCAGACCCGACCCGGAAGAGTTCAGGGCTCAACGGCGGCGTACCCACCGCCGAATCTTGCAGAGCCTCTGTCTTGTCCTCGCTGCAACTCCATCAACACCAAGTTCTGTTACTACAACAACTACAACCTCTTGCAGCCTCGTTACTTCTGCAAATCTTGCCGCCGTTACTGGACTCAAGGTGGTACACTCCGCGACGTCCCCATCGGCGGTGGAACTCGCCGGAGCTCTTCCAAACGCAACCGCTCTTTCTCCGCCTCCTCCGCCACTACTGCTTCTTCCTCCTCTTCTTGCTCTTCTTCCGTCGTCACCACAACGACTCACGAGTCGGAACCGGTGGTAAAGCAAGGAACCGCCACGACGGAGGGTAGTAATGTAATTTCAGGTTACGGAAGCTTCGCGTCTCTGTTGGGTGGGCAGGGCGAAGGAGCGTTTTTGGCTTTGGGAAACGGGTTGGATTACGGGTTCGGGTTCGGGTACGGGTTGGAGGAGATGAGTATTGGGTATCTTGGAGGAGGAGGAGGCGCTGGAGGAGAGATTCCGGTGGTGGATGGTGGTGACACGTGGCAGATCGGGGGTACTGAAGGCAAAAGTGGGGACAGTTTGATTTGGCCTGGTCTTGAGATCTCAATTCAAGGCAACGATGTTAAGTAAAGAAGAAAACCGTTTCTTGATTCTTGTTGTCTTCTTCCTCTGTTTTCTGTTTTTGGTTTGTTTCTTTTTGGAATTTTCTGTTTGTTTTTTTCCAAGTGGGATGGGATAGAGTCATAGAGAGAAGAGCAAAGAACCCAAAGAAGCAAATTAAACAGATAAGAAAATGTATTTTTTTTTACTTTTTAAGGTCCAACAATGGCGGTTTGTAAATACTCTGTTTCTGTGATGAACATATTGGAATGGATTTAGAGTAGCAAACTGATGATAAGACAAAGAAAGAAATTATTTCTTATTTTGAATTTGTTAGTTAAAAACTTACTGATCCTAATTTGTTGAAACTAAGAAAAGATAAAAAAAATATAAAAAAAAGATGAATTGGCTCCAATATTTTTTAAATGTGAGTCAATGGTAAAGTCATATGGGTCCAAAAAGGAAAAAAATAGTACAGAAGTACTGTTGCAGAAGTAGTAAGAGATACTCTGTTGCTACATCTTTGAAATGAGGAAATTGCGTTGAACTTAATTTTGTTTTTATTATAGATAAACATCAACAACAACATTGTTCATTTGCAGTGTAAAAGATTTGGCATTTCAAGTCATGTGAGTCTAGTGTTAAGTATACGAAACACTCAATAAGAATGCTAAAAACTTTACAATCGAGTCTAGCGATTATAGCTAATAGATATTGTCGCATAGTCCCCTGCTGTGGTCAAAAGCCAAAAACAAACTGTGCTGAATATGGATGGTAACAACATTATGACCCAAGGACAGAGAAAATGATGCTCAGGTTTGTTACCAACTAATAAAACTTTAACGTACATAAATCATTCAACATTGCTAAGTCAAAGCGTAATTAGCTCCATTTGATGGTTAGTCAAATATTATAGTAACTTCACTCTTACTGATATCTTTTTTTTTTAGGCTTTTTGAAAGAGGGAATGTGATGTCCACATCAGTCCACATATCAGTAACATATTGGCTGGTGCTTAGCTTAAATCAACTGAGATATATACTGATTCTTTTTACCCGCTCAATTTGTTACTCTTACAACAAATTAACTTTGCGTTTATAAAAGAATTACATAATCATTAGAATTTAAACAAATCTCTAAAATGGCACATTTTAAAGTTTTTGTACCAAACATAGCACCTTTAATTTAAATTTCAAAAACATCACAAAGTCAACATTAAAATGACTCAAACCCTCTTCTAAATAGGAGAAATCTAAACCCTAAATAAAAAAGGAAGCCTAGACATGATTTTTTATTTGTAAATCATTTAAGGTAAAGAACTATTTTTCACATATAATTTGTGCTACTTTTGGAATTTTAATCTTAGTGTGATAGGTTTGGAATTATTGTAACATCTTACGGTATCTCTCTTATAATAATTTTTCATTTATGTTTTTTCTCTATCTGTTGTTAATAGGCCATTCGTAATAAAACAAATATTCGATTAACCAGTCCTAACCTCAAAGTTACTTCTGAAAGTAAAATCAGTGGTGACATTAATATCCAAAAAAAAAAATTCAATATCTTTCATCATGCATTATTATGCTTCAGAATTTAGAGATTTCTTTTTAATTGGTTTGATATGTTCTGCACTTCTGCTTGATGGATTGCATATGTTAGATTGTTTAAACGATCTGTTCTATCGATGTTGTACCTTTGATAAGTCTTTCATATGACTTGATAGTGTTCCTATGATGCTTTGTTTGATAGAATTACCAGAATAGCTTGAGATTCATTGAATATTTTACAGACCGGCGATTGAATATTTCCTATCACCAACTACATTGCACCCTTCTTCTCCACCTCACGAGTGAGCACATAGATCTTTGTAATTTTGTTGTTGATGTGGCCACTTAATTCTATGAGCAGAGCTCCATTTTCTTTGCCATTTTTTGAAACCTCATCAATTTGATATGCATTTTCTACTGTATAATTTAATTTTAATGTATAAAGACTTGTAGATACGTTGGCGGTTGGACAAAAGGACAATTTTATACAAGGGAAAATTTAAACCTTTAAGAGTGAAGAACTCGGGAAATAAACAACTTTATGACTTGCATTTTCAATCTCTCCTTTTTATCTTAGTCTGATATTCAAGCATTCCGTTCTTTGATCACATGTAGTCAACTGTAAAATTATAGGAACATATATTGTAGCTTGAAAAAGCAATGCAGTCTTTACTAGTCAATAAAATCTCATCTAGAATTGTTTTTCCCAAATCTAACTACATTTAGAAACTTGGTATTCACATAAAAAGCAAAAGCAGGAAATACAGTTAACTGCCTGATGCAATGCGATACGTTTACTTAGTTTCTAATTTAAATTTAGCATGGCGTGGCAGCGTGCTGGCCTCTATCCGTTTGATACTTTGTATGTAAAATTTGTATCTCTACTTTGAATTTCTGAATCGTTCTAAGTATTTTAATAATGTAAATAAAAAACAAAAACAAAAAGGTTTCCAGTTTAAATTATGCATACGCTTTTCGTTTAACTTCTATAAACCTTGTTCACACCAAACTTTCCTCCAAATAATTTACTAAAAGCAAAATGACTAGCTTGCTTAGCACTTAGCAGTTTTAATATGTAAGCAATCTATTTGATCCAGCCTGGTGAAAAATTCCTGTTTAAGTATACTTTTATACTTTAGTTTCCATTCAATATTGGAAGTGGGTTTTATTGACCTTCAATTGTCAAAAAACTAGCGTCATCATGATATTTGAATCATTTGCAAAACAAAAAGAAACTTAGATCCACGAAAGATGTTTATCTATAATGATCCAAATTTGCCTATAATGATCAAACGACCCAACATTTTGTTTAATATGTCCATAATTACACAACTATGATGCCGTTGCTCAATTTGTGGCTTTTCACATCATTGCCTCTAAGCATGTGTGTTGTGACTTCTCCCGGCTTCTCCCTACATCAATTATTATTATGCTCCTCTATTTTTTTTTATTCCCCGAACTAAAAGCAAAATATGAAAGTATATGATTTCTATTGTTGATTAACAAATGACTAAGTTGACCAAAAATAAAAATTAACAAATGAATAAAAGGAACAGAAGAAAAAATTGTTATAAATAACAAAATACAAAACATTTAAAATGTCTTAGCGACGATGCATCTGAACGTTTATTTTTACTTATTACTATTCCTTCTTAAAATAACACTCAAATGCAGCGTCATGTAGATTTTTCTTTTTATTATAATTAACGATGTTTAGGATGATTTCTACGTAATCTTGTTTATGCTCTCTAGATTAATAAGGGAGTTGACGTATAGAACTAATAACTTTTCCGTACCGAGTATATCACAACAAATCTCTTCATCTTCAACGAAAGAGAGGGCTATGTTTTGGTGAAATCAAATATTTCCCATTAGTCGTGATTCGTCCTGAGGATCACGGTTGAGAAGGCAATACCGAGAATGATAGTTCGAGTGACTTTGACATGAGAAGTGTTGATCTAAAAAAAATGTTTACGAGATGATTAAGATGTAAAAGGGGTGAGATTTTGGTAATATAGAAAAGATTTGACTTTAACAAGGAATAAAAGGTAGGTAAGAACCGTGTCCTTTGTATTGATGAAATAGACGTTTAGAATTTCAAACTAAGTCCTGAAAAATAGACGTTTAGAATTTCGAACTAAGTTCTGAAAAGTGTCAGTTCGGCGTTCTAAACACTGAATTACAGATAGCTCGGTTTTAGAGAGAAATAGAGTTACAAGTAGAGAGAGTGTAATAAATTTCGGATCTTCTCCATAAATGATCCGTGGGAAGTATTTATAGCGGAGGTTGGAAAGCAAGTTTCCACCAAACCGGGATGACGTGGCAGCTTCAGCACATCTCGCGGGTATGGCGTCTCGAGCCGTGCGTTCAAACCACTCCGCGGTGAATGATGATGAGCTCGTCGCCGAGCTATCTGCGTAGATAGGTCACTGTAGGCGAACTGCTCCTTCACGTGTCAGCTTCTGCTCAGTTCCACTCACTGTAGATCGGCGTCGTGATGATGACGATTAAGCGGAGCCACGCTGACTGGATTCGTTGACTTTGGTTTGATTCTCTGTTGATTTGGTCAATGGGCCTTAATCCAAGATGTGCCTAGCTGATTCGGGGTACTAAACCCACCTCCAACAATCCCTCCAATTCGGTGTATGATAGAGTGTCAAATGCGCCGAAGTCCATGATTTTGATTAGTTCGACACATCGTATGCTGGTGTATCACAGCTCGGTGCTATGATAGGATTAGGGCAGACTCTTTGCGTTCTAGAGTTGGGCGGGAAAACAATGTAAGTTTCCCGCGGAAACCCTTGGGCTTTCCGCGCGTGGTTGGCATGCGCAGACATGAAGAGACGTTTTTGCTATTTTTTTTAGTTTTGCACTTCTTGAGGACGGCACCGAAGTGGCTTCATCAATAGGGTTTTGCTCGGTTTCGCACCGCTTTGCCAAATGTCAACTGTTTCAGTCTTGACTGGTCGTTTCTCCTTCCCCTTTTCTATTTAAGTCTTCTTCTTCTTCTTTCTTCTCACTTTTGCTTTTCCGAGACAAAATTTCAGAAAATTATTCTTTATTTTTCTCTCCTCTGATTTTGTTGGATCGCTGTGACCTTAATCTTTCTTTTTTTCCAGATTCCTCCGATTTCGCTTCTCCTTTCATTCTTATTTTCCTCAATCCTTCGCGCTTTGCAATGGCAGACATTTTCGAAGGAATTTCGGTTGAGTCTGAAACCGAATCTGGTTCTCGTGAGAATCGCGGTGATGAGCTCCTGGAAAGTTCTTCGCCGGTGGCTAGTTCGGTGCACACGAACTCTCATCGTCATGAGGAAGAAGACGAAATGGATAATCTTCCGCTGATCAACCGGGTAGGCCGGAAGGTGCCTCAGGTTGGGAGTTCGACTGCTGGCGGTCGTGGTGTTGGTTGAGGTGAGCACGGAGGTCGGGGTCATGGTGGTGCCCAGAATCCAAAGCCTCCAGATCCAAAGCTC